GGTCCTTATTTGTAAATAGCCTGATGCTCAGCTAGAGATGTTTCAAGATCTTCGGGCGTTTACTTTAGCTCTGGCTAAGCAGTTACTTGCCCTGTGTGGTTCAGAAATGAAAGAATCCTCAACTGGGGTATGTGGCCTTACACTGTGATTGCCAAAGACTCACATATATTCTTGGGTGAGGCACTGATGAGTGTTGAGCCTCCCATTCCTTAAATTTTACAAAGGTAAAAGGAGAGAGTGGAGAAGTAAGGCTACAGTGAACATTTTCTGATTCTGTTTGGTGTTAGAAATGCACTCCCAAGGGACAAGGAAGTGTGGGAAACAGGAGGGAGGCACTGTGACGCTCACCTGGGGAGATAGAAACAACCCTGGGAAGCTTCACTGAGGAGGCATCTTCAGAACTAAGGTTTATAGGAAAGGGGGATTTCTGCAGATGCTCATTCCAGGGGACATAGCATGAGCAATGGGCCAGATAGACCTGACTGGGTGACAGATGAAGAGCCTCACACCCAGTACAAAACTGATTCTTATCCCAATGGTGACCTTCCTCCCGGTCATCTGTAAGCTCTTATTAGCAAGCATGTGTTCTGCTTACTATCAACATTTCCTTTCCATCCCCATACTGAGAAAGGTGAAGGTTGGTCTGGGTTTGGTTAAGGTTCTAAGAATTTCTAATTTTGTGATGATGCCCTCCAGGGACCCGACTAAAGTAAAATTTCAACTTAGATAATAAATAAGGGGTTTGGACCACGGTCATTTGTTGAAATCTCACCTAGAGTTTGATGTCTGGACCAGTCACACTGGTCATGTTCATTAGAAATACAAGTACCCAGCTCTACCCCCAACCTCCAGAATCAAAATAGCTCTGTAATAAAACCTCATTAAAGTTTGAGAAGCACAGCTCTGATCTGTTAACTTCCTGAGTGGTGTGTGCACACAGAGAGGCAGGCTTAATTACAAGCCCTGGCTTTATACAGAGAGAAACTGAGGCAAAGAGACATCCCTCTCAGCACAAGGATAGCCATGCACAGTGGGCAAGCTGAGTTTACTGATTTATTTTGAACTAAATCTGTAGTTTCTTCTCTAATGTTTGTGTAGTGAGCTAGCAGAGCTCCATGTGAACGGGACTCAGTATGAATAATGAAAAGGATTCGAGGGTCCTGTATCACTTTGCCTTTACTGCGATAATGCAAATGATGGTAAGTGATTATAGCTGAGAACTACCTTATTGCTAATTTTGCCAAGGACTTTAACATTGTGTGTTAACCTTTTATCTTTCAGTCATTTGTTTTTAAAATCTTTTCTCGTCTATGTTTATTTCCATACTCTCTTTTGCTTTCTATTAGGTGGGTGAACATAATCACAGGGACAACCTTAGGGCAAGGAAAACATAAGGAAGATGACAGGGTGCCCATGTGGATGCGATTGTTTGTGTGTGTGTGTGTATTACATACAGAACACAATGGGAGTTGTACCAGCATGACATTCTTTACCATCTCATCTAGAAAGGTGAGTTGACCTCTTCCTTTTGGATCAAATTCATTTTCCCGAAGTCTGATGCCAATATACTCTCCCCTTAAAAGCAAGAGAGCATCATTGAGCTATGGGGAACAATATAGGGTTCTGTCTTCAGAAAGAAGCTTTCTTCCCAATCCCTCCCCCTACCCCAACAAATATGCAACGGAAGTCTTTGACGGTCTAGTAGCTGTTAATATTCAAATTTAGCTTGGATAGTGATCTCCAAAGGCTTCGGGTTTAAAACATCTAATCATAATGAACTTAAATCACATTAATCTTAATATTAAACTCATCGTTGGAAAGCAGGAAGAATGCAAAATGTCAACACACGGATAAGATTTTTTGCAAGAAGAGGGCTAAGCTCCATAGTATAAAATAAAAGATTTCCTGCTAGGAGTGGTAGTACATGTCTTTAATCCAAGCAGGAGACAGAAGCAGACACCACCTTCTATGGTGCTTATACTCTAAGAAGAGGCTATACCCAGTCTAGACACAGCGGTGTGGAGTTGGAGAGGTGCCTTGGTCCTGCCTCAACTAGATGATGTGGGAGGCCTTACCCCTCGGGGAGTGGGGAGAGCAGGAGGAAAGGAGGGAGGGGGGAACTGGGATTGGAATGTAAAAAATAAATTAATTTTAAGAAGTGTAAAAACAAGGCCATAACATAAAAGAATATATTGTTGTAGTGTTTCCTATGGAACACACTAGCATTGGGCATTCTGCCTGGAGTTAGCATGGTCAGCAAGGAAAATCTATTTATTTATTTATTTATTTATTTATTTATTTATTTATTTGAGACAGGGTCCCTATGTAGTCATGGCTGTCCCAGAATTCTGTAGACTAAGCCAGTCTTGAATTTGCAGAGATCCACTGGCCTCTGCCTCCCATAGTGCTGGGATTAAAGGCATACATCACTACACTTGTCAGAGTTGGCATTCTTAACTACTGTTTGTTTTTTCTTATTATATTGACTTCCAAATACTTGTGTGTAAACTCGAGAGAGTTCCATATGTGTTTATTCCAGCATTTCTTAAAGATTAAGTAGAAGACAATCATCTTTATAGGCATTTGGACATTTGGTGGAATCTATGACAAGATCTTTGATGAGAAAAACCATATTAGTGTTGGAGCAACAATACGTACAAAATAAAATGTGACCTCTTCTTGTTGTATGCTCCGTGATTTTTTACATCAACCTTTTTAAAGTATCAGGCTGGAGCAAAACTGAATGGGAAGGGGAAAATGTATAGAAAACTTGATCTTCTCTTTATTAGTCATGAAAGTTTAGAAGTCAAGAAAAAGAAGGTGGGTTATTTGGTTGTTAAGCTTGGCCATAGAAGCAACAGAGGCTCTGGTTTAAATGCTGGCCACATCTAGGCATCTATGCCTTTTGCCAGTAAGTGCTGCCCTTCTCAGTGGTACATCCTGCCCTGCTAGGCTGTGGGGGTGCCTTGCAAGTGAATGCTGATGCAGAAGCCTTTTCCTAAGAGATTCTGCATCCTGCCTTGCACCACATGTGCCCGCCAGGCAGAGACAGAGACCAGAGCATCTGCTGGCTTTCTCCTGCGGAGCAGAGAGATCCCTCCTTAGCTTTTTGTGCACCTGCCAACATCCAGACTGTCTGTGACAGTGTCCCGCATGCAAGGGTCAGAAATGAAAGTTATTCTCAGCGATACTCACAGCAGCCTTTTCACCTCCTGCTTTACGAGCCTCTTTTCCATGACAGAAGGCTGGAGCTGAGCGGTTATCTGTAGCTTGCGCTCCACCTGATAGGCGTTAGAAAGAGTGATTTCTGCAAGCCTAGAAACTACAGCAGCAAATCAGAGAGAATATGAATTAGGGATGCTGTTGCTACAAATACCAGACATGGAGGCGGAGGCTGTGGAAGGGATCTAAGAGCATCCAGAATTCAGGCCAGGCCTTGCATACAGCAAGTCCCAAGTTCCAAAGTGACCTGGAAGCTAGCCTTGGACCTTGTGCTCATCTGACAGCTTATTTCTTTCAAGTTTTAATTACAAAAAAATAAACGTATTAAGTAACTTAGTTTTGTGCGTGCATTTTATGAGTGAGGGTGTACATGTGCCATGGGGCAAGAACAGAACAGCTTCTGGGAGTTGGTTCTCTCATGTTCCCAGCCAAGGAACTCAGGTCCTTAGGCCTGAGTTTAAGAACTTTGGCATGCTGAGCCATCTTGTTTGCCCTCTTTCAAGTTTTTCCTCACACTCACGGTGTACTCATGCTCATACTAATCTACCTTGTAAAATAGGGATGGTTCATGTAGCAGTTTGTAAGGCTCTTTGGGCAGAACCACTCATACAGGTTGACTTGTGGTCTGAATATATTGGAAATGTCCTGTGTATGGTCAACTCCGTGATTCCCAATGTGTTGACACTAGAGCAATGGCTCATGATGGAACTGTCCATGATTTCCCAGTGCTGTCACTGACTGTCATTTGGCACTTCACGAAATAGCGGCAATATGTCTTCAATGCCCACCTTGACTTTGAACTGGAAACCTAAGACAAAGTAATAGGTTCAAGGGGGCTCTGAAATCACACACACACACACACACACACACACACACACACACACACACACACACACGTTTGTGAAAAAAAACATTACTATTGAATGGGGGGGGGGGACACCTCAGCAATACGTATGGCTAGGAATCAAACCTACCAGCATGATTTGTATAAAATTTAAAAGATCTGAAGCACATTGTGACAGCTAGTTTGATAAGTCATTATGGATGAATCACTATTATTAGATATTTGGTTAAATGTTATTCTGGGCTGGGCAGCGGTGGCACATGCCTTTAATCCCAGCAGAGGCAAGTGGATCTCTGTGAGTTCAAGGCCAGCCTGGTCTATAGAGCTAGTCCTAGGACAACCAGAACTACACAGATAAACCCTGTCCCAAAGACAAAACAAAACAAAAAAACCAACCAAACAGCAATGTTATGCTGGATGTTTTTATAAAATTGTTTTTTGGATAAGATAAACGTTTAAATTGATGGACTTTAAAATAAAGTATATTTTCTTCCGTAATGTGAGTGACTTTACCTAATTGGTTGAAAGCCTTGAATGGACAAGGATTAATGTCTCCTAGAAAGAAGGAAATCTGCCAGCAGGCAGCTTTGATTATAACTGCAACTCTTTCTGGGATCTCTAGACTGCCAATCTTCATCAAATTCAGACTGATCAAGCCTCTACAATCATGGGAACCAGTTTCTTTAAAAACAGTTCCCCCCCCCATTTCCTCCTTCCCTCCTTCTCTCTGTATTTTTGTTGTAGTTCAGTAGCTGTTCCTCACTCCACCCCCACACACACACACACCCCCACCCACCCACCCACACACACACACACACACACACACACACACACACACACACACACACAAGCCCTCTCCTGGTTTTGTTTCTCTGGAGAAGACTGACTATAGATGCAACAAAAATGTTGGCAGACTCTTTAAATTGTACGTGTGATTTAAGATCCCTACTTTAAAAATAATTGAAAAGATAACCTGTTTTTCCTCCTGCTGCTGCATCTATTTCAGCCTGTGAGATGGAACAAGTGGATATGAAGGAGTGTTGCATAGAAATGGGTTCGTCCCAAAGACACTGGATTGCTCTGATCAGGAGAGGATGGGAGGGAATGCTGCAAGATAGAAAGGAGACCTCATAGTCTAGGGGAAGAAAAGCCCTGACCTAGGGAAGCCAGGCACTGGATGTGGCATCCTCTCTACAATTGATTGATGTAACCTTGGCTCTCTAGTGTTACAGAAAACAAACAAAAAAATAAACAAACAAATAAAAAAATGGTCTAGTTAACTTCTTCCCAGACTTCACCCTGACATCCTACCATTCCATGATGACTGAAATGTGTTAAAAATTCTTTTAATTCACTGGGTGGTGGTGGTGCACACCTTTAATCCCAGCACTTGGGAGGCAGAGGCAGGCGGATCTCTGTGAGTTTGAGACCAGCCTGGTCTACAACAGCTAGTTCCAAGACAGCCAGCCTCCAAAGCCACAGAGAAACCCTGTCTCGAAAAACCAAAAAAAAAAAAAAAATCAATCCTTTTAATTCAATCATTTCTAAAAGCATTAAATTCATAGGACTTTGTCTGATTTCAATCCTTAATAGAAAGTGGGCTCAATCTCTTGGCAGAAAGTGGGCTCAATACCCTAGTAGAAAGCAGGATCATTTGCTTTTATGCCTGCATATTGAAAGCCTTAGCATTTACTTTAACCAATTCTTGTCTTACAGCTCTGAGCAGACTCTTCGATTTTCACACTTATGAATTACAGATTTGCATCTTTTGATTGTTGCCCCGGCTTTCTCTTACCACCCCTATCCCAACATGGTATAATATCTGAAGGTATATCACACACACACACACACACACACACACACACACATATATTAATATTTTAAGTATTAAGAATATGAGTACCTACCACCTCTAGATCACTAGGCAAAGGGATCAGAAGACCCTGAAAGACCACCAACTAGCTGTGTCACTTTATGCAAATTAACTTTCTGGTTTTTTGGCATTTCTTCTTAATGTAAAACAATCATTGAATGTCTGATGAGGTTTGGTTAACTGGAGATTTTCATTCATTTGTCATCTTTGCCCGGTTGAGAGAGAGCCATTTGCATGGACTACTCAGTTAGATTTTATTTTTGCCACTCACTCTTTGCTGTCTGTAGAGTTATAAAGGAATCAAGACCACCAGCTGGAAACACATGCAAAAGGGACACTGCTAAGATGCCAGCTGCCTCAAGCTCTAGCTCTTTCATAGATAGCAAGTCTCCCCCACCCCACTTCACCCCAGTCACAACCCCCATAGTTTAAGGAATCCTGGGCACTGTGGAATATCTGCACATTTCAAGCAGATCCGTGCTTCACAATCCCGTCTTAGTGATATATAGATGTCTACTGTGTTATGCTAGTTGCAGGCTTTTACCAGCCCCCTCCCCCCACTCCCTAGAATGTCTCACCAACTGGAGGCTGATGGAAGCACTTCTTTCTTTTGGGTACCTGCAGGCAGGCTTGAGCACTGGAAGGCTTGAGCTGCTGCTCAAAGTCATCCTGATCGCAGATGCTTTTGCCTGGTTGCTAGGAAACTGTGACTGGATGAAAATAGTTTTATAAACATCCTCATGTCTCCTCCCACGCTCATGTGGGGGGGGCGTGTATTTGAGACAGATTGTGACCCTGGCCTTTAGTTCACATATCTTTTCACCTGAGTAGGCATAGGCGAACCAGCTAAATGATTAATCAGAAAACTGAGATGAGGAGGCCATTTCCCCGGGTTTTCTTTTTCTCTCACCTACCTTCCTTCTTCCTTTCTTGGTTTATAAAATAGCATTTGGCTACAGATGGAGGGCTCAGAGGACCAGCAAGGATTGCTGGAGAAGCTAGTGGAACTCCAGCTCCTTCATACTCAAGAGTAACCCAAGCAATCTCTTGGGGGTGATTCTACTCAATGACTATGAACACAGCAGTGAGAAACCTGGGAAACCACTTCCTGGGGACAAACCATCATGTGCTGGGTAGTTTTCAGACAACTTGACACCAACTAGAGTCATTTGGAAAGAAGAAACTTTAGTTGAGCGGTTGCCTTCATTACTTGGCCTGAAGGCAAGTATGATTTTCTTGATTAATGATTGATGCAGGAAGGCCCAGCCCACTGTGGGTGGTGCCAGCCCTGGTCAAGTGGTCCTGGGTTGTATAAGTAAGTAGGCTGAGCAAGCCATAGGGAGGAAGCTGATAAGTAGCACCCCTCATGGTTCTGCTTCAGTTCCTGCCTCCAGGTTCCAGACTTCAGCACCTTCCCTAGCTTCCTTCCATAATGAACTCTAATCTGTAAAATGTAATAAAAGCCCTTTCCTTCTGAGATTGGTGATCATTGCTTGATCACAGCAATAGAAAAGCAAACTAAGACATATTACCACTGTTCTCCCGATGAATGGTTCCCCTGCTTACACATTCTCCTCATCTAACCCTTGTTTCCTTGCTAAAAGCTTGTAGAGGGAGGACATCTCTTTGTTTTTATGGAATCACCTAAATGTTTAATTGGATATTCTGTCCCTGGGCTGGGGATGAGTTAACAACACTCCTTTCTTTGTGTTTATGGCGGTGAGAATGGAACCTAGGGCCTGTTTGTTCTGGGTAAACACTGTACCCATGAGTAGTATAACACAGCCTATAAACACTTTTATTAATGATCACTTTTCTCTCTTGGTTATGTTGGGGAGGAAAATATCTTTCCTCATGAATATTGAATTTCCTGGCTGAGGACGTCCTAATAATAGACTGAGAAATAATAATAAGATAAAGGTATTAATACAGCTAATACGTTTTATATGACACAAGAGACCTCACAATGAAATGAAAACCCAATGAAACAGGCAGTTTGTGTGTTTTCATACTGAGTTTTGGAAGAATGGACAGTCATTGTGAAATATGGTTGGCAGAGATTCTATGATCTTGCTGTGATACACAGGGAGTCTTACACCAAGCCTGCTTGTTTGGGTGTTTCTCTACTCCTGTGCCATTGGCTTCCCTCCAGATCTTGGAGGCACCTCTCACCTGAGAAGTTAGGCTCTGCTTCAATCCAGAACTGGCTTCTATTGCTTGTTTTGGGGAGACGGTAACAGTGACCCTCTTGTTGCTGTTGCTTCTTCAAATGCCAATGTGCCAGGGTCCTCATTTCC